AAGCAGAACACAGCTAAATATATCAAAAGTATGTCTATGTAATACTAGAATTTTTTGAGACAATGAATTTTGGTTTTTTGTTTTGTTTTTTTTCCAGTAAGAGGCTTTTATTTAATAGAATTTTTGGACCAAATATATCGCCTTACTTACAGTATCGAAATATATCGGGATATATCGTATCGTGACCCCTCTGTCATGATATGTATCGTATCGCCAAATTCTTGCCAATACACAGCCCTACAATCCACTAAAGTTTATATAAGTTACCGAAACAGCTGTAGAAACATCTACCTATGAATTATTAAAGATGGAACAAAAACTTGAGTATTTGGGAAATAATGTTGGACTTTTTAAAACTTGACAAGTGTTTCATTGAAAAAAGACATGCAGCTCTAAGTTTTGAAAGGAACACACTTAAAGGCAATGGTGGACAAAGTATTCTAGAACTTGAGTAAAAGTATTGATATTCAGGGTCAAATCTACTCAACTATAAGTAAACGTTACTCCGTCAAAAATCTGCTTAAGTTAAATGTATTGAACTACTTACTTTTGAAAATACATAAGTAATCAAAAATACATGCATTTAAAAATACTCAAGTATTCAAAAGTACAATTTAAAATTTCTAATAGTACATTGTATTGTTTTCAGAGTGATTTACAGAATCTTGTAACTCTCAGAAACCACCTGATGTACTAACAGGTAGAACCACTCTGCTACAAGCTCTACACCTGTAAAGACTTCAGCATAAGAATACAATAAAGTGAGTGGTGAGTTCTTAAACACAGAAATGTAGTTTATCCACAGTGAAAACGCGAGACATTTAAACTGATACAAACTATTTTTCAGTTCTAAAATCTCAAACATTGAGCTGAGATCTGGCCATGCTGCTCTGGTTTCTCTACTCTTCAATCATCTCCACTGCTGGGTTCTGTTTGAAAAGAAGGTGGAGCTCAGCTCGTGACCGTTAACAAAGATGATGTAATTCCAAATCTAACCCAGGTGTGAGCTACAACTGTGATTAGTTCCCCATGAGGAACGTGGTGTGGCCATTTGCATTTCAAGAAAGAAAAACAGCAACAGCTGATTACAAAGCTATGCTGAACCAAAAGTAACAAGTAACTAGACATGGGTTTTTACGATGTAAAAACAAGTGTGCATTGCCATGTAGCATGTCATTGCAGCATGGCTTTGCCTGCAGCATTGGGCTTGCAGAATAAACTTTGACCAAGTTCAAATGGGTTTTCTATACCAGCTTGTGCCTGTCACATCAGCAGGTGTTTAGAATTAAGGTAATTGTGCGACAATATGAAGTTTGAAGAGATTTTTTCTTAAAYTTGCATTAGCTGGGTTTTGAACCCTGATCTCCCACATGAAAGTCTATGACATAGACCGTTAGACCAATGGAGCTGTGGCAGAAGGTGGTGGCAGGGATTGGTTTGTATGTGTGCAGAAAGAGGCCACATTGCCAATACAATTATTGATACTAAACTGCATAATATTACAACAATAGAGCAGTATTGAGACAATATTGTAGTAAAACATCAAAATACAATCATATTAGTATTGTAAACACTGAACTATTGAGATTAAATATTCAAAAACTTTGGTGCAGTACCAAGTTGAGTACAGCTGGGGGCAGTATTGGAACATGACAAGGCCCCATTGACTCCCATTATATAAATTTGGAATAAAGTTGAAACATTAATATTTCAAAAACTACAAGTTGTACAGGCACCAAAAGGCATAGCAGTCATTTGGCACAGGACCTTTACAGATAGAAATTACAATGGCAGCTGTAGGACAAAGTATGCAGGAGGAGAAGCATGGCAAAGTTGAGATGATTTGGATGGGAAACGAATCACAATAGTGTGCATTGCGTTGGCAATGCACACTGACTAAAAGCTTCCTTGAAATGTAGTGGAGTGAAAAGGATAAGTACCCCAAAAAATAATTACTAAAGATACTCAAGAAACATTCTTAAGAACAGTACTCAAGTAAATGTACTCCATTACTGTCCACCACTGATTAAAGGTGCAGATTGTTTTCTCTCAGGAAATAAAAAGTAAAAAATCAAACCATGTTTGACACCAGAGCAGGTGTTTTTGAACAGTGTTGTATAAAGTACCTCAAAGTGATACTTGAGTAAAAGTACAAGTATCTTATCATAAAAATACTTTGGTAAAAGTTAAAGTCTTCTCTAAAAATATTACTTGAGTAAAAGTCTTAAAGTATCAGAATTTCTTTATACTTAAGTATCAAAAGTAAATTTCTGACACAAAATCTACTTAAGTATTAAAAGTAAAAGTACTGAGTAAAAATGAGCAGTTAGGTTTTACAAAATGACATTTATTGGGAGGTGACTTCCCCAAAAACTATATTTTCTAACAGCGTGCAGCTGTGATGGGTTGTGTACAAGCTAATAGTGTGTCAGAATGGTATATACTTAATTTATACTTCTCATCCAACCACAGTTAAATTCACTCTATCCAGGAGACAAATTATCAGGATAGTATTTTTTAAGTAATAACAACTCAGAATAAAACAGGAGTAACAACTTTCTACTTCTTACCTTTTTTAAAAAATGTAGTGAGTAGAAAGTACAGATAATTGTGTAAAAATGTAATAAGTAAAAGTAAAAAGTATGCTGAAAAATAATTACTCAAGTAAAGTACAGATACCCAAAATCTCTACTTAAATAAAGTAAATAAGTATTTGTACTTAGTTACTTTACAACTCTGTATATGAAGACATAATAACATGTCTGTGTGTCCAGTTGTCCACTCCTACAAGGCTCTCACTGATGACTCAGGCCTCTGGTGTCACTGGAGATAATCTGGACCCTAATGATGGATCATTGGGCTGAGGGTCCTCTTTGCATGTGAACGGTTTTGATTGTCATCATTAAACTTGATCCACTATGAGAAGGTTCTGARGACTGAGTTCACCTGAAACTGAAGAAGTCTCATTGATGAGAGACAAAATGTTTTTTCAACAAAGAACCTGGTCAGAGGACCTATTTAACTTTTCTCAGAAGGTAATAATAGCATTCAGTTGTTCAGCAAAACAAATCAGCAAAGAAAGGAGAAAGTGAGGACAGATTCAATAAAACAGCTGTAAAACATTTTCATAACTAGAAGCACTCGGAGAGCGCAAACCTCCACCAAGACCAATTTCCTCCATCCTGTAAGAGTTAARGCACAAAAGCAGAGATGGAAACACATTTACAGAATAAGTTCTGYCGTAGTGAACATTTAAGCAGCAGTATGCACAGGATTTCTTCTCAGCGGAGTCCAATGTGAAAAAAACAAAGTCAGACTGGTCACCCGACGTTATTCATGGTCAAACTGGTGTGGGATTAAGC